CCAACATCTAGGAACAAGGTGCATATTTTTTCAGATTTTTAGCTCTCTTCCTGTTGCCTCAGGACTTTTCTATGTCAGTAGTTTTCTTTACCGCCCGGTAAAGATGACATTTTGTGTAGTGTTATCATTTGGAACCAGGTAGGATTTCATTCTTTATATTTCTTTATATTTCTCTTTTATCATTTAGGATAGCCTGCCTTAGAGATATCGGGACTAATCTCTTGCCCCTTATCATTTGGAACCAGTGCTTTTCATTGATATTGCAATTCACAGATTAGATCTCTTGGGTTCTAGAAACCCTTTGCCGTGTTCGCACGGTGTCCCGTCCGTAGTATCGAGTGAAGGTTCTATCGAACCTTACACTTTTTTTTCTCAAACCCAATTCGGAGATTGTTTCACCATTCAAAATCAATTCAAAGTTTAATCGATACTCCAGGAAACCTTACTGAATGCGCCACCTCGACTCTATTGCGATCGAGAACGTTCATTAAGACCTGAAACCTTACCTACCCCACATTCTCCCACCTTTTAGTCATTGTGTATGACGACACGACGACAAGCTCCGCCCACCGACCCAAACGCACCGCCAGTACCACTGCCAGACCCAGAAGCGATCATCCGCGCGAACCGACGATTGCAACGCATCTCTAGACCGGACCCAGCCACCGCCAGACTAGCTGCCTCACAGCTCCTTCAGACAACTACATCTACCCGAGCCAGAACTGATCAGCCACCGCCTGCTACACCAACCCGTACCCGTACCGACCATCCTACATTACCAGACGTACCTGAGTCTTCAGAGGGATCACCGCTCTCTTCCGTACCTTCATCGCCTACCCGTAATCCACCTCAAACTGCACCCTTCCCAACGATGAGTGCACCACCTACCACGTCAGCTAATCCAGATTCGGATTTGATGAAAGCCATCGTCGAATCACAACTTGCCAGTAATCGTAGGATGGAGAAGTTCGAGGACTTGATGATGAAACTCATGTCATCCAAGGAAGCGACGCCTAGTAACGATAGCCCGGAAGAAACCAAACCACCACTTGGATTGGATCTAACGAAGTTTTGCACGTCTGACGGACCTGTCTATAAGGGACCGTATCGCCAAGCAGAACCTTTTCTGTTGTGGTACTCGTCGTTGAAAACGTTTTACCGCACTAAAGGTGTGACGCTAGATACAGACCGAATCACGCTAGTAGGGAACTTCTTGGAAGAACCTAATGCCCATGCTTTCTACGAAGGCGGCTTCGATCGCTTCATCAAAGGCACGTGGAAGGAATTCCTTGTCCAGCTTTTTGACTCTTGCTTACCGGGAGATTGGAAGGATCGCCTTTACGAGAAAGCCCAACATCTAAAGATGTCACCGTACGAAGATTTTATTGCATACAGTACCAGAGCATGTGGTATTCAAATCTTAATCAATTTCCACGCCGTTGTTATAAACGATCAACAGCTAGCGACCTTTGTGGAATACGGGATGATAGAAGAACTGAAAACTGCTGTTAAATTATGGGGGTTTACAAAATCGACCAAGGATTTTGCTTATCATACCTTTGAGAATCAATGTGAAACACTTTATGCTTCATTGGTTGCCTCTCACGCCATCATCAAGAAGATCAGAACCCCCCCAATCGCGTCATACAATCACAACGCATCGCATAGTCGCCCTCGAGTTGCTACAACCAACACGACAGGCCGCTTGACCGACGAGGAGTTCACCTGGAAGATTCACTCGTATTTGGATGTCCTCGGCAAGTGTCACTTTTGTAAAGGTTATTGTGGCAGCGAGTACCGAGGATGCAAAGGTCCCTATGTCAGGGAAAAGGTAATTTTCCCTCCGGGATATGTAGCTCCTCCCAAACCGGCGAACTACATCCCACCAAAGGCTAGATCATCGCCGCCAGGAGCTCATAATCAAGCCGGCCGAACCAATCAACCGCCAGCGGGTCGACCAGCACCA